GGGGTTAAGACATCTGTGTTTCTGCTCTGGTTCTGCCACCAATTAACTGTGTGACCTTAGGTAAGTCACACATCCTCCTTATGCCTCATAAATAAATAGATAGGTAGATAAATTTAATTGCATTTCTTACCTGCCTTGGCTACCTGATAGAGTTCTTCTGAAGATAAAATGGAAAAATATATGTGAAAGTGCTTTAAAAAACTAATGGTTCCATTTAGATGTAATGTTAATATTATCATTCCCAAGGAGTATTCCTAACCCTACTCCTCATGGTGTTTCTTTTCTCCTTCATGTAGCATGCTTTAGTACTGCAGAAACTAAGAAATCTTCATCTGAACAGGGTCTACATAGTGTAAAAATATAATGCCAGCTAGAAATATATATAGCTAAGGATACCTTTTCTTTTTAAATAGCAGATTAGTCACAGATATAATAAAAATATATCCATATATATATATGTATATCTGTTTTCTGAGGATCATCCTAGTTAAGTTTTTTTTTTTTTGGTAGGCAATGGGGTTAAGTGACTTGCCCAAGGTCACACAGCTAGTTAAGTGTCAAGTGTCTGAGGCTGGATTTGAACTCAGGTCCTGCTAACTCTAGCCATCCATTGTGCCACCTAGCTGTCCCTCATCCTAGTTAAGTTGAGAGGAGTTTGGTGGCAGGGGCATGGATATTTTGGCAATTTCAATTTATCTAATGAATTAAAGGAGGGTTGTATTCTGGGTCAGTAGGGGGAGTATACATTCAGATGAAATCATAACTCCCTCAAGTGTTGTTGTATATATACATAGATATCAATGTATGTGTGTGTGTGTGTATGTGTATACTCATACATATATACATATACATGTATACAATATACATGCCCACCTAATTCAACTAAGTATAAAACAAGAGCTTGGGAAGTCAGCATTTTGTGTGTTGGGATTACCTGAGAACCCATCTTTTTCCTGTAGCATTTCAAGTCTTATTCATTAATTTTGGTTGTCAAGATAAATCTGCTCATTTTAATGTTAAACAGCTCTGGAGTTCAGCTTCTCTCTCTCTCTCTCTCTCTCTCTCTCTGAAAAATATTAACTAAGGAAAAAGTCACAGAACTAATGAAAAAAGCCCTCACAAACATCTTCAGATTTAAAGGACCTATGCCTTTATGATAGCTTTGTTAACTGGATGTCTAAATGAGCCTTCTCTCTAGGACTGGGCTGAATTCATTCCATGATTAAATTAAATGTCTGGACAAAAAAGGTTATCCTAATGTGAAACTTTCAAATTTAAGATTGGTTATTGATCAATAAATCACGATGCTAAAAAAATGCACAGGTATTGGCAGCATCATTGTGTCAAGGCAAATATGGTTTATAAGTGGCCCAGCTGACTGGAAGATTTCTCTTTTCATTATTTATAAATTAAAAAAATTTTTGGAAAGTATAAACAAATGATATTCTAAAGCAAGATATTGAAAAAGAGGAGGAGCTATTTCAGATTATTATTACAGCTTGACTAATCATTACTTCTTAAAAAATTCAATATGTCTAGTTCTATTGCTGTTGCTATATTTTAAAGCAGCTGAACAGAGGAAACATCCCCATTCTTGTCGGTAGCCACCATAAAAACACAACCTGTTTAGAATAACTTTTTCTTTCCAGCATAACTTTCTTAAGGAAGGAAAAGAAAGGAAATGAAAAGCTGTTTGCCTTTTTCTTAATGTGTCCTACTCTTCTACAGTAAATCACACCTTCCTTACGCTGGGGTCCCCCAAATCATTATGTTGATAAACTGCACATTAAGTCAACAGTTTCACAAAATAAAACAGAAGCTCTATCAGACCCAGAAAGAAAGAGACTGAAGAGAGAGAGAGGGAAAGAAACACTTGACCTGTTTCATAAAACCTCCATTCGTTCAAGGTCAATGTCACACTTAATTGTGGACTGACTCGAGTATGGATGGATGATAAAGCATTTACTAAATGCTTACTATGTACAAAGATATATACTCCAAGTGACCCTGATATATTCAGCTGGGAAAGATTCTCCTTATTTCCTTTCCTATTTATTCAGCTAACTTATTGTTAATAATTTTTCAATACCCTTTAAAATAATTAAAATTTTTTGTGAGCATTACAATTATTAATTAATTTATTATTAAATAAAATTGAAATGATAAAAAACTTAAAATAATTTCCTGCTTTTGTTTTATAGGGGCAAAGGGGCAGAAAACTAGAAAGCAATGCAGGTAGCAGATGACTATGGGCAAAGGTGCCTTTTAAAAAAGCAGGTGACTGCAGGAGATTGATTTTCAAAATCCCAGATCAAGCTATAAACTTTATGTTCTTCTTGTAGACTTCATATTGGTTGAATGACTCAACCTCACGAGGCTTTCTGAAAAGACATTCTGTCCCTGCCCCCTCCCCCCAACTTAATGGAATTTCAGTTCTCTGGTTAAATTAATCTTCCCCAGCCCTGTGACCTATACCTTCAAGATCCAGAGGTAGTCTATGAACTCTAAGGGATCATAAGCCTACAGATTTAGAGTTTTAGTCCAACAACCTCATTTTTCAGAGGAGGAAACTGAGGCCATGAGAGGTCCAAGGTAACAGAGATAGTAAGTGTCAGAGGTGGAATTCAAACTCAGGTCCTCAGATTCCAAATTCAGCATCTGTTCTATCTCTCTACCCCAACTGGCACAAATGTGAACATCTCATTGTTTCTACATTCTTCCAATTGACAGCTGAGGACAAGACCCACCCACTGGTTCTAAGGCAGATATGAAGCCCAGGAGGTAGCTGGACTCGCCTGTATTCACTTCAGTGCCAATCAGCAAAACAACCGAGATCATCTAAGCATTTTCCTATGACCTTCTTAGCAGATTCATCAGAGTGGAAAAACATGGGGTTCTTATTCTTCCGCTTCCTCAGTCCTCTTACCTCTATGAGGTATCTGGTCTTGACCCCAACCTCATCACCTATCACATTGAGAAATTGAATCTCTTCCGAGTATAAGCATTTCAATTTCAGTGTTGGATGAAAACCAAGAGCTCAATTCCACTACCCATTAAACCTCATTTCCTATAATTTATAGAGGGCATATTAAGTGATCTCTCCCTCCCACAACGTTCTGTTTGACTGACTGTGTGTTTCTGGTGTCACCTTGGGAAATGGGATCAAAGTAGGGATAGCGTAAAAGAGACTAAGGAACCTTTAAGCCCAGCTCCAGGGTCTTCTGTTTATAAGGACAGCATAAAGAAGACCTGAAAACCACTCTTGTTTAACGGTGATAAATTTATCCATGTCATGGATATTAAGAAGCAGCTGTGGATTAGTGGATAGAGAACTGAACTTGGAGTCAGAAAGACCGAGGATCAAACCAACATCCTTTTACCCCAACTCCAATGTGCTCTCCGTTTAACCACTCTGCTTGTTTGGATATCAAGAGGCAGACATGGCTAGAGAGTCAGCCTTGGATTCAGGAAGGCCTAGGTTCAAGTTCTGTCTCTTCCACAAGCTAGTTGTGTGATCCCGGCCAAGTCACTCAACTTTTCAGTGCCCCAGGCAACTCTCTAAGCCTATAAATTGCAGAGTAGATGCTGATCTATACAGATAGAGGGAATTTTATTACTCTAGGTAATTTCCTAAACTAATGAAATCACAGGTCTGGTCTCCCCCCTCCCCAGCCCTCCACCCCCTCTGAACAACTCCTAGTTTTAATCAATCTTTATTTTAAAAAAAAGCAAACTAAATGACCTAAAATGAATAAATATTCCTTCTTGAAAGAGGACCCATACTTTTCTTTAGACTGGGGGTGGAGGAACTTATATAACCCAGCTGTTGAAAGATTATGGGGCTGTGGTAGGTTAATCAGGACTACCTAGGTCTCCCTCCCTTTTCCTTAGTTTAGGTAAGGCTAGTTCTTTCCCTAAAAGGCAAGAAAGCTACTGCCAGGGTTAGACTAATAAGGCTCAAGTCTCTTAGTGGTGAGAAAGAAAGCAGGGAGAAAGGTGACATTTGAAAACTCAATCAATAAACATTTATTAAGTGCCTACTATGTGCCAGGAACTGTGCTAAGCACTGGGAAAAAAGGCTTAAAAACTATCTCAGGGAACTCTAGATAGATTTGCTTTTACCATTACGCTATTTGACTATACTTTTTTTTTTTTTTGGTGAGGCAATTGGGGTTAAGTGACTTGCCCAGGGTCATACAGATAGTAAGTGTTATGTGTCTGAGGCCGGATTTGAACTCAGGTCCTCTTGAACCCGGGGCTGGTGCTCTATCCACTGCACCACCAGCTCCCCCATATTTGACTGCACTTGTTGGATATTTGTGACTTTAACGCTTCTGAGAGTTCATTGGTTCCTCTACCAGTTCAAATCACAATTCCCTTCCAAGCCTTATGGGACAGAAGGTTGTGGCTATGAAAATTCATCACCTGGTGACTAACCTTCCAGCAAAGAGCCCCTGGACTTAGCTAAGCTGGTCTCTGCAGGACGGACATATAGCAGCCATTTTTTAAGACCTTTTTTAGTTTGGTAGGACCTTTCAATGTGTATGCTCTGCTAGTAGAGCTTCTGGGAAGTGACCCAGGTCATCCTTCACGCCCACTCTGGGCGCTTAGGATCCTAGTTTTAGAGCCAGTCATCCTGTCCAACCCTTTCATTTTAAAGATGAAAGAAACTGAAGGCCAAGAGAGGGAAAGGGACCTGCTCAAGGTTATATATATTGTAATTAGCAGGCTTCCAAATCCAACACTCCTTCCACTGTGCCATGCTGTTTGTGGGCTATTAAAATTTAAACAACAATTCAAACAAACTAGGTTCAATCTCAAACCACAGAGCTTCTGGAGATGGGGAAGGAGATATATCCCAACCACCTTAGAACCTTCTGCCCCTGGTAGTAAGACAAACCGGGCAAGAGGGAGAGAGGGGTAAGCCCTAGGGAGCTATGGCAGCCCAATAACGGGTCAGTTACATGGGTTACACACTTGTACTTATCTTAACTCCCTACCTCGTGGCCCCTGTCTTGCACAGGACATGACTCACTGTCTGCTTCAGAGAACGATCCAGACTCATCACTTGAGTTGGTTCCATAGGACTGCTCACATTTAATTTGGGGTCGGACTTGGTTGTACATTCCATCTCCCATCAGGCCTGGCTCCTGATGATCAGTGGCAAGGAATCGAGCTCCCTGGGAACAGGGAGAGGAGGAGAATTCACAGAGAGGGAGGCTACAGGGAGAACCACCACTCCCATCTTCTGCGTAGGAGTAGGAGGAGCAGGAGCTAGAGGTCCTGGTCCTGGTCTCCAAGGGGGGAGAGCGAGGGCAAACTTTAATTGGCACCGGGCAGCTGGTATTAGGCCGCATCCTTCCTGGCAAGTGGTCAGCTATTAGTCCACTGTGGGAATAGGTCTGTGAGCTAGGGAGGGCCTGGCTAGCTCCTGCCCAAAGACCCTTTGGCACGGGCTCAGAGAGGTCTTTGTCCAAACTGGTGATGCCAGAATACAAATGCACTGAAGTGTTCCCTTGGTCGCAGGCGCTGGAAGAGAAGATCACACTCCGCCTGTCCAGCTCACCTTCTTGCTTACACAGAGTTTCAAGCCCGGGCCCCTTGAGAGGAGACCCCACTGCGACACTGGAAGCATCTTTCTGACTGGCATGGGACTGTCCATAACTCCCTGTGAAAGGGCTGTAGTCAGTTTTATGGTCACCCTGAGTTGTCCCCTTGTCCAAAGGGCAAGCTGGACTCCTGGCAAAGTGCTGTTGGGAAGTACTGGGCAAGCCCGACAACTCTGCACTTTTTGTTCTGTTGAAGAGGGACCCTAAACAGGAAGGAGAGGAGCCGCTTTTAGATCTGTCCACGCAGACAGCCGAGGGGGTAGCAGCGGTGGCTGCAGCAGCAGCAGCAGAGGTGGTGGCCACAGGGGTGGGGATGGGGCTAGGCTGTTTCCTTTCCATCTCGACATCCCCCTCTTTGTCCCTGACATCGGGCTCCTCTCCGGACAGGCAAAGTGTGATGCTTTCCTCGTCATTCTCTTCACTGTGAGGTTCACTTTTAATCTGCCCCATGGCCAGCCCCGCCTGGAGGCAGTTGCCAGGGTTCTCTTCACTGAGTGCGCTTGCAAAACCTGAGGTACTGATGTGCGATGTGTTGTAGACAACATTCTTGGTACAAGCAAGCTGGTATTTCTTATATCTGGGGTACCGTGTTAGCGTATCCTTGTCCAGACTGCCCCTGCCATCGTCCCTTGGCACGTCGGAGTCAGGTAGCACGCCTTCTTCCTTCTCTGCTACTGGGGCTGCAGACTCGAAGCCAAGGGGTTCTGGATGCACCCGCTCCTTGGGACACGATATCTTGGAGGTTTCTGACTCCATTGTTTCCTCCTCCTCCTCGCCTTCCGAGTTCTCCATGTCGCCATGCATGCGTTGGCAAGAGGTATCTTTTTTGCACAGGAACAGGCCATCCTCGTTGTTTAGGAGCTGGGTCTGCAGGAAACTGAAGCAGGAATCCTCCAGGTTGTGCATGCGCAGGAACTCTGCACAGCGGATGACCTCCTGGATGTTCTCTCTACTGAGTAACAGCTCCGCAGTGTAGGCAAACTGTAACAATGGACCAAACCCCCGAGCAGTGACCTGCAAAACAAACAGGGAAATTGCCAGCATTACCATCAGCACTGCTATTGTCCTGGGTCCTTCAAGTGAAGTGAGATAACCAGACAGCTCTAGTGTCTGGGGAATAAAGGCTTCAAAGTAGCAGTTAATCTTGTATCAGGTCAGCAATGATGCTGCCTCCAGTAATTAATGCTGTCTCCCGCACGCCACTTCTGTACTTCATCATGTAGCAGACAGAACTGAGAAGCACCCAGGTCTGGTGCCCAATCAAAATGATAATGGGTCTTGTGTTTACACTAATGAAAGTTCCTTGCAAATTTAAAATTCTCTTCCTGTCCCAAAAGGTCGGTTTTTTTGGAGAGCTCTCACATGAATGGCAACATTTGTAGGTACATTTTAAACAAGGAACACATTATTTCTTCCCCCTATAAATCCCAAATGTGGAAAAATTTAACTCTTGGAAAACAACAAGTATGTAGAATTTGAAAATTTTTTTTTATACTTAGTTTTAAAAAAGAAAAGGAATATAAACCAGCATTTCCCTTAGTATGTTGGTTATTCATTAAAGTTACTAGTTGGAGCTGTCTCTCTCTGATTCTATCATTATCATCATTATTATCAACAATCGTTAACAGTAATGACGATGATCATAATAACAAAGATGATTACAATGCCCTGAATTAAAAACGAGCTAGTGACCGTCAGAGAATGCTGTGAATAGGAAGACCTAGGTGGCATTTAGGGTTGCATTAGCTGAAACTTCTGAAGGCCCTGCTACCTCACATATACCTTTCTTTCTTATTAGCTGCTACTTCAGCATGTAGCTGCCTATTTTCCCGTTAGCTCTTCAGTGGTTAAGCCTAATTGCCATGTTTTCTGCTCATCCATTAAATTAAACCCATTGGAAACACACTGTTTGTGCACAGCTTGCTGGTAGACACGCTCATACCCACAAATGACTTGAAAACTTAAAAAGGGTGTTTGCTGCCTGAGGCCTATTTCCTCCTGGTGGAGATGGACAAGAACCGCCAATAGACGGGTCACTATCACTATCCTCATTACGTAGTGCAAGAGCAGCCATCGTCTCAGGCCCTGACAAGCACTGCTAATTGTGTAAGAGATGTGGGAAAGTATGACATAAATATTCCCACCCAATGGCATATGCTACTATGGGATGCATAATGAATGACACTAGTAGTGATCTGACAGATACACCAGGAGGATGGACTGCAGAGAAAATGGAAATAGGATGTTCTTTTAGGTGAACTTGCACTGACACAGAATTCAATGCAACACACTAATCAGAATATTTGATTTCACATGATCCCATGACAATAGGGCTTGTTATTATAGAGATTAGGGTATACCACTAGCCAAAACCTGCCTGGCAACACTTCCTAGCTCTAATATTTTAAATGCTGTAAGGCAGCCTTTAAGTAAGGAAGGTATTAGTCATCATTAGTCATTAGTCTAGCTCTCCTAACAGGAGTATTAAAACACAGGCATTGCTTGTTTACAAAACTACACTTCTCATCTAATACTTTTTTTTGCACTAATAATAGATGTAGCAGACATGGCACCTGCTACATTTTTAAAATGCCGACTCAGAAGTGGAATTAAAAACCTTCTAATGAGCAAGGAACTTTTTAGAAAGAGTTAACAAAAGACAGTAAGAGGGTGTAAACGTTAAGGACAGAAGGATTTGGGGGCATGTGACTGAAATGTCATGAGGCCCATTATCTTATGGATCAAAAGAAGTTCAAAAGGCCATCTACTCTAAACATTTCATTTTACAGAGGGGGAAACTGAGACCCAGAGAGGTTAAATAATTTTGCCAAAGTCATACAGGGAAGTGGCCCAGCCAGGACTTGAATCCAGGTTTTCTGGCTCCAAATGCAGTAAGTCAGAACCCCTCTCCACCATACTACACTGCCCCTCAACTTCTCCATGGCAAGCCATTATTAAGGAAGAGGAAGAAAGGGAAGAATGAAGGAATAATCTACCTCCTAACAAATAAATACCTCCCCCCGTTTCTGCAGGTCATTTCTCAGTCACTTTGAGCTTAAGAAAATATGTAATGGTATCCCACCATTTGGTGCCACGGAGAAAACAAATTCTCATGTATTTATACTTTGTGCTAAGTCTTTCTTTTTTGAATGCCACGTTTTTCTGGTTTAAATTTAGTATGAAATTCAAAGCTCACCAAATTTTTCAGAACCCTTCTGTTTCAATTCACATACGTCTTTTAGGTTTCAATGAAACTGTCCCTTTCATTACTTTTCATGGCACAACAGTATTCCATTACATTCATATAACAAAATTTGTTTAGCTGTTCCCAAATTGATGGGCATCCCTTTAGTTTCCAGTTCTTTGCTACTACAAAAGAGTCATTACAAGTATTTTTGCACATATGCATCCTTTTACTCTTTCTTGCATCTCCTTGGGGGACTCAGTGCAGAATGAGACATATATTTTTGGATTTGACCAATGTAGTAATTTGTTTTGACTATGAAAATTTGTTAAAAGGGCTTTTCTCTTCCTTCCTTTCATTCTTTCTTTCTCAATGGTGGTGGAGTAGGAGGTAGAAAAATCCTATTTTTGCTAATTAAAAAATAAAATTTAATTAAAACCAAAACAAAAAACCCCAAACCCTTCCATTCCCTTTACATTCCCACTAATTTAAAAAAAATAACAAAAAAACCCCAAAAAACCCCCAAAAACAAGTAGTCTAAAAAAGCAGACTGAGATTCATGAAGTAAAGGCACACTCACTAGACAGGCTAGGTTTGGGTTGTCAAAAGGAAACAAAGCGAAGAATCCCAGGCTTTTGCTTCCAGTGCTACAGAGCTGCCAAGAGCTGGAGAAAATTTCACATGACCCCAAGGAGAGATAGGTTGATGCTAATAGCATTATGGGTGTTAAGAGTGTCCACTCATAGCACATTTCTGAGTCCCAAATCAGTGATACAGCTTTTCAAACCATTTGCCTGAGTAGGCTGGGGAAGGAGGTCAACTTGAAGATAAGTCTGATAATGACTGTTGCATAGATAACAACATGCAAAGCCTGAAAGAACACTGGTGCTTTCAAGTTAGCAGATGGCACAGTGGACAGAGAGCTGGGGCTGGAGTCAGGAAGTACTGGGTTCAAATCAGACTTCAGACACTTACCAGATGTGTAACTATGGGCAAGTCACTTAACCTCTGTCTGCTTCAGTTTCTTCAACCGTAAGATGGAGATAATAATGGCACCTACCTCCTGGATCTCTTGTATGATCAAAGGAGATAATATTTGTAAAAGTGCTTAGAACAGTGCCTGGCACATAGGCCCTTCCCCACACTGAGGAGTGATGGGCTTTTGTAGACAGTCTTTCAAATCCATGGCAAAATAAATTGGGTCATTCATGTTGAAACACAACTGAGGCTATCACAGGGTTTTCCCCAATATAAGTTTAACCTTGTCATAGTTATACTTCAGTAGATTAGCAAAAAGCGTCATAGAACCAGAGATGAAGGAAACCTCAATGACCAACAAGTCCAGCCTCTTTGTCTAACAGCTGAGGAAAACTGAGGCCCACGGAAGGCCATATGATTTACTCAGGGGTCACCCAAGTAGTAAGCATCAGAGGTAGGATTTGAACTCAGGCCTTCTTTCCACTGTACTATGCTGCAAATGTTTACTGAGCACATACTATGTGCTAGGGATGTGAGATAGACGAGAAATTATGAGAAACAATCCTTTCCCCTCAAGGGGCTTATAATCTTATTGGGGAAATAAGGCATAACTCCCTCAAAAGATAAAGAGTAATAAAAGAGTAAAAAATAACACACAATAATATAAGAGATGCTGCATGACAGTATGTGACTAATGATCAGATGAACAGTACTGACAATAAGTGCTTTGAGCCATGATCAGATAGAGAGCAATGGTTCACTATGGGCTGGAGTAATTATCTGTACACCTGTACCAAGATAGTTCAAGGGCAGAGATAATTTATCATAGTGGCTGCTAGGTGGTAGAGTTTGCCTCAATTTCCTCACTTGTAAAATGGGGATAATAATAGCACCTACCTCCTAGGGTCACTATGAGGAATAAATGCTTAGTAAAATGTCTGGCACACAGTAGGCACTATATAAATGCTAGCTATTATCATCATCATCCATTACTATTATCACCCCATCCCAGCCTAAATTCATGAATTACCTTTTAAATATGTACACTCTGAATGGCAACAGGTGTCCTACTTGAGGTCGATTCCTGTTGTAATTCAGTCCAGCACTAGTAGCTCCAAACAGACTCACTTTGATAACAAAGTGTTAAAACAAGCAGACTCAGTAGCCTGGGGCTCTCTAAATATTGATTTGGCTTTTATAGTGTGTAAGTCCCACTGTCTTTCTACCTTAGGAATTGCTTGTGTTTCTTTACTGTGATCAGAAAGCAAACAACCAGATCTTAACAGGTAAATTTCTAAGACGGAGATTACTAAGCCACATATGTCATTCACCTTTTGGTGTAAATAAGTGACATTGTTATGGTCAGAATTCTGCTTAAAAGGGGGAAAATCATACCCAAGGAAAAGAAATAACTGTACAGTTATAGCAAAGTGAAGCGACTGGCAATACTGAATTTACTTCATTGACTCTAATGGAATCAGGTTTACCTTTAAGGGAACCAAAGCCAAAATGAGCCCAAATTTCCTGGTAAGGTATTAGTAATGAATAACAAATATGTCTGAGATTCTCATCATGGCCAGGCAGGGGTGATAGTTGCGCAAATAGTTTCCCAGAACATTTTGAAGATTTATTTTCCCACAGCCTCAAATGTGTAGTTAAACTATCTGATGTCACTGAATACATGGCATATTAGACAGGAGACATGAAAACAAGCTGCCCTCCTTTGGGCTTCGTGGGTAAAGGTCTAGGGTTCTTGAACAATGATGCTAGGATTTTATAAGACGAGTCGCTGTACCAGAAACAAAGAGAAAATCCCTAAGACAGCACAGAAGAGGCTACAACTTCAGTGACA